TTCATGGTTGTGGTCTACAAAGAAGTGAGTTACAACATACTTTCCCCCTTCACCAACATCTGCATCGTACCGTATGCGAAATTGGGCATTGTAACCTACTCTTGTTAGTGCCTTGGGAGCTCTACTCTTCTCAGCAACACGGTCCAAGTATTTTGGTAATCTCTGACCTTCCCTTGAACACAACCACAGCATACTAACGACCTTTCCCTCTTTATTTGTGTTAAATATGGATTTCGTATACTAAATTCCTTGGCTTTAGCATATGCATTTTAGAAAGCTTCTCCATCTTCGACCGAATCAAATTTTTGTTCCAGAATAGCACGTTCAACATCACCATCCATGTCATTGCGATGAGCATCGTCAACCATTTCTTTTTTCACATCGGCTCCGCCATCTTCAACGTTCATGTTGGTTACTTCTTCATTGCTCGGACCAGCTCGCAACCATGATAAGGTTCCGCCCGACTTTCATTCATCAAACGAATGTCATCTACTTCATTTGGAATGTCATAATCATCACCTTCCCTTTTAACTTCCGTTGGGGCCATACTGCACATGACATTAGTACAAACAATTACTTGATGAGCGAAAAATGTTAACACAAACACAAACATGACATTTTCACATGGTTTAGTTGTTTGTGCAAACACAAACACTCGCTTAAGAAAGAGAAAGGTTAGTTGCCAATGGAGGGGTTTCCGTTTGAACGAAGCGTAGAGCGGTTGAAGTTAGGATAGGGGTTTAGTTGAGGGAAAATAGCTGAAGTGAAGAGGTCAGAGAGACAGAGAGGGATAGAGAGAGAGGGAGATAGCTCCATACCTTATATCTAGTTGGAGAGAAGGGCTTCACTTCAGCAATGGAACCAACACAGCCTTGTAGTTCCGTTATTGTTGGAAATCGCCCCGTTATACTGTTCCCTACAGAGCTTCGTCAATAGAACCAACCCAGCAGGGGCTTCTCACTGTTAATGGAAATCAAGGGTTACACTGACTCAACCTTACACAAAGAGAGATAGAGACGAAATATAGAGAGTGGGTGGGATGCAATCATGCAAATACAAGCATTAACCGGTTGCCCCGGTTTCAACTTTTTCACGATTAAACAATTCAATGGTCTTGATCAATTATTGTAATCTAACGGCTAACAATTGAGTTGCATATGGTGTGCAACCTTAAGGGGGTTGCACACTTAAACAGAACCCAATAGATAAATAGGACGTTTCTTATATCTAACAGATTTGTAATATTTTTTTTTATCATAGTGAAAATCTTAGCAGTCATAAACGTAAACTTATTTTGGGTTGAACTACGTAAATCCTTATATTGTTATGTGTTTGATTTTTTCTATTCATTTTATCTTTCGTGTTTGTTATTTTGTATCTTACTGATCTTGATTAAGAAGAATTAATTCCTAACAATTTGTTGTATCCAACGTTTATTTATTCAGCAGGCTCATGGAAAAAATATGACCAATGGAATAATATAGTCATTATGAAAAATTGGTTGTTGAAAAAATATTAACATTAAAAAAATATAATTGTATTTGAAAGAAATAATATTCAAAAGAATGAGAAATACTATTTACACAAAAAAAAAAAAACTATGTAAATTTCATTATAGGTGAATTTATAGATCTAAAAATATAAATTTGTAACATTTCTCATACTGAAAAAGTAGTTAATTAAAACAAAAAGTTGAATTTTTTGATAACTATTTTGACTAGTGTTGTTGTAGATGCTCTTAAACATTAACACAGTTAATAAATTATTATTATTATTGTTTTTGTTTTTGTTTTCATGTTATGTTTGTTATTAGTTATGGTACTAGTTAAAAGGGTTTTTAATTTTGATGATGAGCTTAACAAACTTGAGGAAGAGAGAAAAGATAGAGAAGACAGGGGCAACGTTAGATAAAAAGTGATATGGGTCCTATCCACCTATCACTCTATAAAAAAAAAAAAAAACCTTGATTTGATATTAAATTTTAAGAGTGATTTAGGAATTGCTTATATGATTGCTTATATGAACAATACCAGGTATCATGAAAAAAGTTTCATAAAAATAATCATGAAAGTTTTATGACCCTTGGCTTACACTTAAAATAAAGTACCACACACTAATCAAGGTAATCCAAAGGTCACAAATCTTTCATGATCATTTTCATAAAAAAAATTTCATGATCCCTAACTTTTCTCTACTTATTTTGTTGCTTTTTTTTTGAAATGGTGTTTGGGATACGTTCATTTTTATTATTATTATTATTATTATTATTATTATTATTATTATTATTATTATTATTATTATTTTCGGGCCAAATGATATAATGTATTTTCCCATTTTCCTGTCATGGGACATGTGTAGAAACCTAATTTTTATAATTTCCTTTGAAACTCCAATCTTTGGTTTGTTGCATTTAAACTCTAAATTTTTGCTTTATTGCAAGTTAAATCTTAGAATCGAAACCCGTCGCCAGCAAATCCAATCAAACCCTAATCAATCCTAAAGATTAGATTATCACTTTTAAACCCCTAATTATGAATATCAAAACCTTAGAAAAATAGTTTAATCGCATAACAATCCTAATTCTCGAATAACTCCATTTTTGCTTGGTTTCTCACCTTTCTTCATGAATTGGTGGAGCGGGACTTGAATTATTTTTCCTAACTATATTCAGATTTAGTCCCTATCTTCTAATTCTATTGCAATTTGACCCAAATTTCTAATATATTGTTATATAATGTACTTTTATTCTTTTATCAAAAATGCTTGAAAGCTCTAGAGCAACACGTTCTCTAACTCGCTTTTCTCTCCTTCTCATTCTTGATTCAAATTTCAAACTTTATTTTCGGAATCTTCTCTCTCTATATTCAAAACCTTCTCTTCTCTCTCTCTCTCTCTCTCTCTCTCTCTCTCTCTCTCTCTCTATTTGTTGTCTTCGACCTCTCACCCCCTAACGGAGCGTAGCTCTACTCCAACCCTGTAGACGATCAACTCTGTCTCCGACCGAGCCTCTCTGTCTCCCTCGATCCTCCCGATGATCGACTCTCCCGCTTCTTGCTTGTCGTCATTCCTGCCGAATCAATGAGGACTCTCTGTCTTCTCTCGACTCTCTATCCGACCGTCGATCGAGTCCGTATCTTCTATTGCTGACCAAGTCTCCGTTCTGAAGAGCGACCCGAACCAGGGAACGGTGTTTATTCAACGGTGTTTATTCATATACCATTGTTCGTTGGTTTGAAACATCTTCAGATCTAGATTTTCTTCAGACGAAAACAAAATTATCATATTTCTATTTCTGATCCAATGAATAGAAGATTAGTGCTGGTATTTTGATTTGAAAAGTCAATAATATGTTATTCCCAACAATGCATCAGGTCCTGCTGGAGTTGGCTAGGAACAGGAACAAAATCCCATTGCCAAAATCAATAGCAGGGCTAGGAATTCCTACTGCCTAAGCAGGACAAGTTGATCAGTCCAAACTACCAACTTGCAATCCCAAGGAAGCCAACTGGGTCGACAGCTGTGGAAGAAACAATGGATTTGCACTATTCCTTGTTATAGTGAATTCAAAGAAAGTCTTTGTTCGTTAGTGTTCCAAGTTTTTTTGTATCAATGAAGCATTGGTTTCATAGTTCTAAATCGCGATATCGGGTAACGTAACGGTATCGATCGCGGAGTATCGGTATCGGGAGTATCAACCGATACGTATCGGGTATCGGGCGTCGCGACTGTGAAATTTCAAAAATCATTAGCAATCTCTCTAAAACTCAATTCTATGTATTTTTTGACTCTTTTAGCCTTAATTTATCACATTTTAATCAAAATTTTGATATGTAAAGGCAGTTTTGACTCATTTTCAACTAAATGATATGTATTTATTTTAGTCTCAAGCTTTTATTTGGCATATATGTTAAACTTTAATATAAAATTGATGTGAAAATATTTTTTTACTTATTTTCAACAATAAAATACTTTCACATGTACAACAAATTAATAAGAGAAATGGGGATATGAAAATAAATCATTCGCTTCAGTCATAATCGCATACAAACAATCTACTACAAATCAACAACTCTAAAACTTAGTAATAAAAAGAATTACATGGTGGTACAGAAGAATCTCCATATCTCACATCACTTTGATCATCACTATGAATTGGTTGGCCTATTTCTCCATGTTGATATTCCTGGTAGTAGTTATTGAAAGTGCATTGATCATAAGTAATGTTGTTGCTGCCACTGCTACTTGATTGTTGTTGTGTCATTGCAAGCCCTCCTGTACCATAATCGAAACCCTCTATATATGGATATTGATGAGGTTGTTGAGAGTAGTTCCAATTTTCCATATAAGGTGGTTGATAGATGTGTGGTGGTGGTTGACTTGGAGGAGGGTAATAAGGATATGGTACTTGGCATATTGGTTGCCAATGTTGAGTTCCCCTTCCATCTTCTTGTCTAACTCCGAGATGTCCAAATTGATTTCTAAGGTCACGATGACCATAAATATCATCAATATGTCGTGAACGCCCAATTGATGCTTCTACATTAGGAGTAGAAATAGAATGTCGTCGTTGCTGTGTAAAATCCCTATTCCAATCATGATCAATATGATGAATACTGCGTCTACAACCATGTGCAGAACCTGCAGACTCCCATTGTCCACCACTACCACCACCTGTTGGAGGACGACTGCCATCACTATCATCTCCACTACCACTAGGTGGACTCAAACCGCGACCCTCACTAGAGCCACTTCCAGCAGACCCTGCTCTTTGATGGTGTTGAGGTACTTGGCTACTGGTTGCATGATCTCCCTCATCATCATCATCATCAACAATTAACCAACCTGAGTTATCTTCATCATCCAAGGCTGCATGTTCTCTCTCTTGAAGCCATGGATATAGTCAAGATTGATGGGGTTAAAAGATTCCTCTCTGTCATCTTGGCTTTTTCGTGTTGCATGTCTGATCTTTAGCCTCATATTGTAATACACATAAACAAGTTTATTTAATTTTTTATACTTCAACCGATTCCTTGTCTTTGTATGTATCAGGCTAAATGTACTCCAATTGCGTTCACAATTAGAAGAAGACGTGGTTTGGCTCAATACTCTCACAGCCACTTTTTGGAGTGCCGGAGCCGATGTACCATAATGGATCCACCATTCAGCTTTATACAAATCAATCAAATATTAGTGATTATGTTATAATTTGATATAGAAGTGTTGACAATATAACAATAATATGTAATTCAAATAGTTAATAGTTCATTGAGTATATAATAATTACCAGGATTTGTTGCTTTCACTACTCTTTGTGCTAACACAGCACCAAAAGAATCTTCTTTATTACAAAATAAAGAGATCTGCAATGAACAAAAGGCAATAAGTAGTTTTAAAAACACAATTCACAAGTCAAATAATAAGTTATCAATTTAACTAATATTAAATAATGACTAACTTGGTTTATCGCCTGTATTTGCTCATTTAAATCTGGTAGAAGTCTCGAAATCAAATTTCTAACTCCACTCATCACTTCTCGATGATTTGAAAGGTGCTCCCCATATTGGAATATGGGATTTAAAAAATAACCTACGTTCAAATATAAAATAATAATAAAAGTGAGACAAGGAACACATAATTTATAATTTAAATAAATAAAAAATTACTTACCAGCAGCATGCAAGTCTGTGTGTAGTTGGAAAGCCCATCGATTATCAATAATCTTCCAATAATCTACATAATAGCGACAATTTTGTTTGATGGCCAACTTTGCTCTATCCATGGCTTCATATATAAAACCCATTGTGGGCTTTTCATCCCCATCTACAAGTCTAAGCACCTTTAGAAGTGGTTCTTGAACTTTTAATACATCTGCCGCCTTGGTTTTGTATAATTTTTTTCGCCTCTTTTGCATCATCCTTTTTGGACCATTTGCTGTGCTTCCACTTTTGAGAATGAAACATATCCTATAAAGTAGTCTTATGTTTAACAATGCTTTCCAAAGTAATGAAATTGGTGGCAAAGCGTGTGATGACAGGACGTAACAACTCTCTATCTCCTGTGAATCTTTTCATGAAATCAATGACCCAATTGGAGTTGTAAATAAAGCATGTGATTACTTTTGCACAATCCAACACCTTTGCTACACTTTTTTTCTTCCCAATATCCTCTAACATATGATCAATACAATGAGCTGCACATCCTGTCCAATACAGATTCTTCCTTTTTTGCATCAGTTTGTAACCAGCAACCTTTATCGCAGCTTCGTTATCAGTTACGATTTGCACAACATATTCTTCTCCAATTTCATCCACTATCTTGTCCATGAGGCTTAGGTAATAATCAGATGTCCTACTAGGTACATCAGTTACATCCACAAACTCCTGAAAAATTGTTCCACGATTGCCATACACAAGAAAATTAACAATGTGCTTTCTTGTGGGCCCAGACCATCCATCACACATAATTGTAACATCTCTCTCAGCCCAACTAGATTTATGAGATTTTATCCAATTTTGTAAAGCTTCATATTCCATTGGTAAATACACTTCAGTTACCTGTTTAATAATAAATAACAAACAAAAACTATTAACAAGCATCTTAATAATTTATTTATTTTTAAACCTAGATAGAGTTTTTTCAAACTTTAAGTTAGAGGCTTACTTCATAAGAAGTAGGTAGCTTTGTTCCTTTTCTAACCTCTCTTGCAGTATCCAACATTGGTTCTAGCCATTTGGAATTAACAACATTAATAGGCACTGCAGTGAACAATACAAACTGGCTAACTGCTCTTCCTAATTTCTTCTTTGCTTCTTTCAAGAATCTAGAGGAGAGCTTGGATTGTTTGTTGCCTTTGGTCCTATGAAGATCCACATCTATGTCTAATAATTGAACTTCTGGAGAGGATGTATCAATCCATTTCCTACCTGTACTAGCCTTACGAACACTATGACATCGCCGAGCAAAACCAGGAAGAGGTGCAACCTCAATATCACTAGCCCTGTTTTGTCGGGCCATAACCATTTCTAAGTCCTCCTCATCATTTTCATCATAATCACACTGACTGGCTCTAATTTGTTCTGTCAATTCCTCATTCATCTTCCTTTTGTCAATCTTTTTGCCCTTATAATTATTCAAATGATCCATCATTAGTGTTCGAACTTCACCACTAACATTAGCACAAGGTGTGACTTGACCTTTCATATGGGCTAAATGTTGCTTCAACCTAGTTATACCACCATTTAGCTCTTTTCCACAAAATTTACACCTAATTTTATGCCTATTATTTTCTAGTGGAATTCCAAATTTCCAACCAATATCATCACTTGGAAGTTTTCCACTAGAACCACCACTGTGCGCCATTATAACTTTCAATTATCTACAATAACAGTTTTCAATTAACAAATATTGTAATTCTAATTTAGTTACTAATAATAATGCATTTAAAATAGAAATAAAAAATCTAAACTATTAAGCCTCTTTACTTAACAATTAAACCTCTTTAAAAAAATCTAACAGATGAAACTTCTTTAAAAAAAATCTGATATAAAAATAAGATATGACAGATTCAAACAAACACACTATATGGAAATAATTATCCTAATCAACTCATTGTCATGGCTTCTAAGTTTTTCATGGATCACTAATTTTTTATGACTCAAATGAAGCACGAGAGACTGAAATGATATCAAATTGGGCTTGGGATCTTCTATGTTAATTTTTTTATTTATTTTATTTGTTTATTTTTTTATCTATTTTGATGCACTTTCAATCAATAATCAGGGTGACTCTAGTCTTATCCCCATCAAGCAACAAAAGCTCTTAAATTTTTTTTATTTGTATTACTAATATTTTATTATATATAGTTTGGTTATTTAAAAAAATCAAGGATCCCATCAAATAAAAAAAAAATATTCAACACAATAATAATCCTATCTACATACAAATTATAAACTATTATAAACTATTATACAAATTATAAACTATTATGTGGCAGTCCCTACAATCCCACATAAATCAAATAATAATCCTATCTACATACAAATTATAAACTATTGTAAACTATTATACAAATTATAAACTATTATGTGGCAGTCCCTACAACCCCACATAAATCAAATTATATTTTATTATATATACATAAACAAACCGAGAACAGCAAGCAAAACCATTTGAAGAAGTCTACAGCCAAAACAAAAAACAGAGCAAGAAACAAATGCAAATAGAGCATGAGAGAAAAACCTTCAACGAAGAAGCTTGAAATCGGTGATGGGTTTGGGTTCGATTCGATGCTTCTCCTGGCAACACTTTACAAGATCGATGGCCCTGGGAGATGGATTTGGGTTTGATTGGGGAGTTGAGTTTGGTCCGATTGAGGAAAAACTTTAGAGGTTTTTACACATTTATGGTGTCCTGGTGTCCGTGAGTCTGTGTGTATGTATTATTGCTTGAAGAAGACAAAAAAATTGAAGTGAAATGTTTAGCCCGTGAGTCTGTTATCCTTTCTTTCCTGCTTTTGCTTTTGTTTTTGCAGGTACTTTGGTCGATTCCTTTTTCTTTTGCAGGTGATTTGTTGTCCAAGTGATTTGCTTTTCCAGGTGACTTGCTTTCCTCAATTATTTTTCCATGCTTTGCTCATTTTTCAACCGAATCGGACTATATCGGAACTTTATCGCTCACGTATCGGATTCAAGCCGATACGTGTTGGGAATCGGCCGCTACGGACGTGAAATTCAGTCTCACCGGTATACCGGTGAGTATCCAACTCGGCACTCCCATTTTCCGTTACGAACACCGGCCGATATTTAGAACCTTGATTGGTTTAGAATGGAATAAAAAGTTGTTACAATTGACTGGTGCGAAAGGCAATGAGTGTGGATATAAATATGACGTGTTTTTAAGAGGATAAGAATTCTGCAGCATAAGAACTTTGGTGTGAGGTCACCAGTTTGAACCCCATTAATCACATTATGATGGTGAATGTGTATTAATGATTTATGGTTGTGTTTAGTTCAGAAGAGTAAGGGTAATGAAATTATCATTCATAGTAGAATGTTTTTTCAGATAATAATTCACAGTAGAATGTTGATTTTGCTTGGTTTACTATAAAAATGATGAAAAATGCATTAATATCATAAATGAATAATTATCATTCAAGGAGATGAAAACTGAAGACTTTATTTCATTCCATTCTTATCGGTAAATCATCTTTCACCTTATAAAGTATGAATCATTTTGCATTTTGTTCCTGAAAGAAATATTCTGACTTTTAGAGCAATAAAATTAAACATTTTGCTCTTTGTGGAAAAACAAAACAAAGCAGCTAATATAGCAATAAAATTAAACATTTTGCTCTTTGTTGAATCCAGTGAGTCGTTGTTCTTCAACCCAGAACCAAAAAGCGTTGCCCGTACTTATCATTTATATATACATGTACAACTAGTTGTCACTACAACCGAAGGGAAAAAAAAGCAGTGTCATCATCTTTTCCAGCCAACCATGTTTCTAGTAGCCTGTCCTGAGGCTAACACTAGGACGAAGATCGAAGAGGGAGAAGACGCCAGACGGTGGATGATGGAGAAGACGTCAGACAGTGGAGAAGAGGGATGGCAGAGGATAAATCTGCAAATGCTTTCTGTAGACACCCCATTTTTGACCGTCCTCAAGACTTGGGCGTCACCGTTTGAACACTCAGTGATCATCCTTGTTTGTATTCGTCTTGAGTTCCCGGAGGTCTCGGCTACGGGCCTTGCCTCAGGATCTCTCGACTCGACTGTTTTGTGTTTGATTTTGCACTAAACACTTGTGTTTTGCCTTTGAGGGGCAGGGAGTGGCTTGATGGCCATCCCCACACATCACTGGCCATGTCTTGAGGCCACCGGCTTTGTTTTGTTGCCATCGGCCAAATATTTGGCCGGTCGGCACTGTTTATGGTCGGTCGGCACATTTTGTGGTCGGTCGGCCAACTTTGTTGGCCGATTAGCCACTTTTTCTGGCCGAGACCTTTTCTTGAGGGGGTTTGAACCTTTTGAACCCCCTGTTTTAGCTTCTTGAGGAAGCTTGAACCTTTTGAACCTTGGTTTTAGCTTCTTGAGGAAGCTTGAATCTTTTGACCCTTTTTAGCTTCTCCAAGAAGCTTGACCCCTTTTTTTAGCTTCTTGAAGAAGCTTGAACCTCTTGACCCCTTTGCCTAGCTTCTCCAAGAAGCTTGGCCCTTTTGCTCCAAGCTTCTAAGAGAAGCTTGGCCTCTTTGCTCAAAGCTTCTAAAAGAAGCTTTGCCCCCTTGTTTTCTCTATAAAAAGAGGGCCTCTCCTCCCCTTTAGAGGGTTAGAAAAATCTGATATATCATATATATATCACTCCATCTCTATATCCCCCTCTCTCTCTACATTTGTGTGGGTTAGAGGGTTCAAAAGGGTCTAGTTCTTGGCCATTTGAACTACATCTCCTAGCACAACACCTCCATCATCAACCTAAGGAGCTTGGAGGCCATTTTCAGAGGCTAAAGGAC